AACATTGGTGTATGTACTTAAATTATTCTGTGCAGCAGTAAATATAACTGCACTCGCATAGTTGCAATCACTGAATTTTGCTAAATCATCACAAATAATGTAAAGGTATGGAGTTACCAAAGTTTGGGAGAAAGACCAAATCTGCAGTCCTTCTTCCTCCTAATTAAATATTTCCATCTCTATTTTCCGTTTCCTCTGGTGAAGTTTTGGCACCCCACTGTCACTCGTCAAGCGGGATGTTGGCCATTCTAGCTTAAGGCAGAACATCCCAGAACTTCTCAAAGTTCTCTCTCTGTCTTCAGTTGTATAGTCTCTTCTCATACTGCAACCATATATTGAAGGTGTGGCACAAACTAGTAAACAAATATTACCTACATACTAGTTGAAACATTGACTGGCAACCTGTCCAGGGTGTATCCTGCCTTCTGCCCAATGCGTGCTGGTCAGAATCCACCGCCATCCCGAAGAATAAGCGGTTTAGAATGCGTGTGTGTGTACTAGTTGGAACATTGCAATAAGAGACAATATATGGGCAGATTTACTAACATTTTGCGGCATCGCAAACTCTGAAAAGTTGATGGCATGATTTAGTAAGTAAGTACAGCAGTCCTTTACCGCTCATAAAAACATCAAAGTTCTCAAACGTCGGCCTCTGCCCTTTTATGCTTTTGCCTGATTGCATATGCATTTATAGGAATTTCCCTCTCAAAGCAGGAGATTGTTATAATGAAGCACCAACTCTGATTTGAACTGGAAGCTTGATGGAGTGAACACTTGTAAACACCTGCCATGTCACATTATTCTTAATTCGCTGAAGCAAATAAAGAAACCTAAAACCAAATAGTTTTAGAAAAACAATGTTTTAAACTGCTGTTGCCTAATTGAGGATATTTTTACAACACTATCAAAGAACATCGTTCTCAGAATAATTATTTATAATGGAAAACAACATTCAAGATGTCCAATGTTTAAATAAATTCTTAAAATAAAATGTCAATACTCAGTTGTTAACTAAAGTGCAATATGAGGCATGATGATACTATCTTCCTTTGAACAATAGTGAATGAAAAAATAGGCTTTGTCCACGTTATCCTAAAAAGGTAAAAATGAAAATAAAACAAAGCAGACCTGAGTTTCATAACTTCAGTTTATTTTTTCAAAAAGGTAAGGATGTCTACATTGTCTGGGGAGAAGGTAGACTTCTTTGCAATCAGTATGTCCCCTGCTCTGCTGTGGAAAATACCTTTAACTAGGAACTGAAGTGCCAGGCACAGCAGGGTAACATCTTGCCATCATGGCAATGTGCAGAAGAATATTTTGTCAGCTGTGCTTCGGATCGTCACGAGTGGATGAATCTGGTGATTAAGAGCGCGTTGAAAGAGTATTCAAAGGGAACTCAGTCAAAACTCAGTTAAGGCTGTGTGTTCCAAGGATGTGAGTGAATTATCTACTATTGTCATCTTATCTTCATCGACATAATGTTGATTTTGCATTTGAGACCTAAACATCGAGTCAGACCTTCTTTATGAGCCTGTGTGTGTAACACTAATACATAAAGACGTACAACGTGGTGTGAAAAACTCCCACGAAGTCCGCCCTGATGCCTCTGACTTTAAAAATATTATTTCAGGCTTTACACATTGACTCGTAGCAGTGCAGGGATATCATATTTAGTTTTTGATTGAGTTTATTTTTTCTGTTTACTCAGTAATAATACTTTTAACAATTTTAACAAAAAAACTTATGTAGTGCTGCTTTAACTGCTTTGAACATCCTCGATTTATGTGACACACAACTGTATTGTCTTGCAACTATGCATCCAGATTTAAGGAAGTATTACTTTAAAGAGTAACAGCAGCAATTAAACTGCATTCCAAACTATTATGGTTTAACTTTGGAAAGTAATCTGTGGTTCACATGCATGCCAAACCATGGGGGGGGCGGGTGATCCGTACGGATCACGGATCACGGATCAACTATGGTCCATTAGGAAATTTTTCGTGTCTGAAAACAAGCACAGTGAGAAACTGCCATGAAAATATATATATCTAAATATAAATGACCCATTCAACACCTATGGACATAACAGACAGCTAGGCATTTCTCTGTCCACTTGTGATCAGATCACAAGAGACAGATGTTAGTATCAAGTACTAACAGGGCCTAAGTGTGTGTTACTTTTGCAGTAGAATCAAATCACTACTCACCATTGTCTGATAGCTGAGTTCAGAGATCAGTATTGAAATCAGTACTGAGAGATAACAAATTGGATCCGTGCATCCTTCAAGATAACAGTATTCAAATACAACACTGATAGATTGAAAGATGTTTAGGAGGTGCTTTAGGCGTAACCCCAGATCATGATAATTAAACCCATTAAGTGTCTTCTTTTGTAGGGCTACATGCTCCTTCCCTCCCTAATACTCTGATTATACCATCAGAGTGAGTGGCTCTTAATCAGCTATTCAGCTCTGCGATGATTGGGGGTATTTAATCACAGAAAAGAGGCCTTGAGACTGCGGCGTCCGCAGAGAGCGAAAGCTGCTGATTACAGTGATCAGTGATCTTTCACGGAGATGCAAGAACTCAGGCTGTTTTTTCGTCGGTCCGTCCACGCTATTTATTTCTCTCCATCTGCAAACTCAACAGACGAGGCACAATCCAAATTGCGTCTAACAGCTACTAGACCAAAGTGATGAGCAGTCCGGGTCTGTCAGATATAAGCTTGTTTGTGTGAGTGGTTTGTTAGTGTTACTGCTGTAGTTCAGAGAAAAGTTTTTCAGTTTCCCCTAACTCCCAGTCAGTCGATTTTGCAGGATATGTTTGATGTCTGAAGTTCGCTTCTTTAGTTTCGCTATGAGTCTAATGTAGCTAACAAGTAAGTGAAATGGACAAAAGTATGAAAAATTCAAGCTTTATTACTGTTTCTAGTTATGAATTGTACTTTTGTCCATTTTTATAGATAATGTAGCTCATACAGTGTCAGAAACTACACAAGCACTTGTATGTGAGATTACTTAACAACTTGCTAATGTTTAAGGCAGATGTGTGGTGGTTTAGACATGCAGTTAGCATGATGCTAATTCATTGGCATAAGCTTCCATTACTTGCTAGCTACATTAGCCTTGTAGCTCCAGGGCAAATCTAAAGAAGCAAACTTGGACGATTAGCTACATTTGGGATAAATGAACAATTGGCAAACACTTTATTTTTATGATCCACTCTAGAGGGTCATGTTGCGTTGAACTCAATTTCAACTAAATATCAATTACATTCAGCTTTGCTTTTCTCAATATTAACACACTAGTTCTAACATTATCTTTAACTTCAACCAAAAACCAAAACCTAATCCTGAGTTTTACTAGATAATTTGGAAACAGTATAACTTTTGTAGATATGGCATATCACACAGCTTTAGCTTGTGACTAATTGCCCCAAAAATAATTGCAATTAACAACATATTTGTCTGTTTTTGTACGTTGTGTGCAGCTTTTAAAATACTAGCCTGAAGTGGTTAAATTGGCTGATTAGCTGACTTTACTTCCTGGCTGTACATACGTAGTAGCTCACGACTGAAGACAGACAAAGCTCAAATAAACAAACATTACTCACTGCTGCACTCTGAAGATGTTAACAAACATCAAATAAACAAACATTACTCAGTGTTGCTTGCTAAAGGTGTTAACAAACATTAAATGAACAAACATTACGCACCTATATATTACCCACCCTCTGAAAATGTTATAGCACCAGTCAAGGTTAGAACATTGTTGTTTGTGTAGGACAGTTTCTCAATAAATGCGTTTCTGCTTTCTTTTATTTACATGTATTTGTCCCAACCAAACTGATACAATTGCATCTAGTTGACTTTCTTTTTGTTGCAACATCAACATGTGATTGCAAAAGCTAAGTAATTGCAGTCAGGAGATAATGAAATAATTGTGATGGAGCTATTTCTAGATAAAATATTAAACCATTAAAATTCGGAACCATTAAAATGTGCAAAAGACTTAAAGATGTGCAAATTTGATTACCGAACTTTGGCTTTCATGCCAGTGCAAACTTATCTGTGAGTTAAAAAAAAGGCTGGTTGAGAGTGGGGCCGGCTGGTGGAGAGCAGAGTTCTGGGATGGTGGTGGAGGCCGTGGATGGCGGATACCCCAGCAGTGCTGGTGTGGATGCTGAGGCCTGTGTAATTGATCCCATTGGGCCTGCTTGGCACCGCAGGACACATCCCAACCCGGGTCGAACAGAATCGCTGTGGAGACGACAGCTGCTTTTCCATGCAAACAGTGCCGGTCGCTGCAAACCATTAGCTCCCACTGCCAGCTCTCGTCTGGTAGAGCCAAGTCAGCAGTCCAGCCCCAGAGCCTCCTTTTCGAGTCGCTCTAGAAAGAAAGAAAACGCCGCTGAGATAATCTCAGGCATGGCCTCCTCCACCATGCGCTCAAGGCAAATTATATTTAGGCTGTGCTAAATAAACTCCAAGGCTTTGAGAAAGATTTCCTCTTTTCTAAAGTGCATTTGGCTTGGTGAAGGCCTCTAATTGCTTTGCAGTAGTTTGTAGCAATGCAGTTTCCATAACTAGCACTAGCAGCGTTACCGTAACTCCATTTTGTACTGCTTATTTCTTAACGACAGAGCTGGCTGTTGAGCCTGAACAAAGCAGGGAACCAGCGCAAGGTTGCTGCTTTGTTACCCAGCCAGCTTCCTATTCACTGCCGCCAAGTACGCCGGCCAAGAAATGGAGAAAAAAGTGTGTTAAAAGAGACACGTTGCTGTGGAATGTTCCTTATTTGTCTGCTGTTTTGCCACTGCTGTCACAACACAAAATGTCATAATGCTTTCCCAGGTAAACGCTACAGTTATATACAACGCCCTCAGTCAGGCTTAGCCAGAAGATTTCCTTCAACACCAGGGTCAGCTTTGATTTATTCCATGCTTCGCTACTGACCATAAACCTGCCAACACCTCCCCCCATTCCCCCCTTGTGATTACAGGCTCTATGACGTGAATGGAATCTCCCTCCTCAAATCGCATTCCCACCTAAAACATGGCGGAGCACATTGATGAACCAGACAGACAAAAATCAGCCCCTGGTCCAGAGCAGATACCATCACAAACAACAACAACAACAACAAATGCCAGCGGGCATTATCAACAAGGTACAACTTAACCTTAAAGCTCTAATTAAGACACCACAAAATCTGATCTATTTATCAATGGGAGGCGAAACTGTAATAGATTGTGTGATGATATATGTCCCATTTGTCCCTCGTGCTCCAGCCCCAGGTGTAGAAAAGAAGTGCTAAACAAATCCATGCAAACTGCATTAGGCCGTCCCATTGATTCTGGTACTGTTAAAGTGACGTGTTAAAGTGAAGGCCATGTAATTGCATGTGAGAGCATCACAGTAGTGGTAATTACTGCATATACAGCCAGCAGTATTGGAGCACTGAAAATGCCTGACACAGATCTAGCTATCTGATATCATCATTAACTGGCCTAGTAACACAAGCGCTGGAAATAAAACTGCCCGTCCTACATTTCTATTGTTAGGAAACTTTGAGTTGTGCAAAAATTCCCAGCATCAGTATTTTTCACAGGATTCTGCGCACCCATGCAATCAAATCACATTGTGTTATTTCTGCTCCCTGTATTGACTCTCTTTCTCTGGAGTTCCACTCCAAGACGTGCAGCTTAATTTTAGCAAACAAACTCAAACAGACAGTAGAAAATAGACTAAGCAATTGACATCACTGCTGTTTTATATTTCATCAGTTCATCAATTAAGAATAGTATTAGCTTACGGATTACAGCTGAGAATATAGTACTACTGATATTTTTCATTGCTGTTTTTCCACCTCTTTTTATTTGGTAAGCAGCTTTCTTTTACATATTGAGACTCCGTGGGATAATGCCTTTGATGTCTATGGGAAATGCGACATGAAAAGCTTGATTAAGAAAACTCCAGCCCTGGCTTTGAACTGGCCGCATTAGTCTTCCTCCTGGGGAAGTAACAGCACAGCCAGCTGCAGGGATCTGTAAAACACATACAGACTGTTGATGTGGCCTGAGCATCAGTCCTGCTGACAGACGTTACTTAACATTTCTTACATACTAATCACTGTCTGTGCTGTGACAGTCACTCACTCAATCTACTAAAAAATATTTAATGGAATATGGAGTACGTTTCTGCAGTCATATCAAAACCTCATAATGCTGTTGCTTTAACTCTAATGTATTTACACCAATGCTATGTCTTAACACCATTTAACACCATTTATTAGTGCCAGTCTTTTATATTATGTGATACGTAGGTGATACACAGTGCAGTGCAAAAGTCAGAGATCACTCCTTATTTATTTTGTTTCCAGTCAAAACGGCCAACAAGGACAAGTTATTAATTTTGAAATAAAAAAATCAAACATATCGCTGTTGTTGGAAGAAAACCTTGTATCTCCAAAATGATAATTTTACAGGAGAAGGAAAAAACCTTCTTTACATTTCATGCAAGTCAATGGAATCAGACCTTTTTTTAAGCAATTTTGGGCTGTTTTATTTGGTCAACTGATCGTGAAATTTACACACAATGTAAAGGGCAACAAGCATTTTCAAATTATGTAAAAGACTGAAAAACGAGAAAAATGGAGATCCAAGGTTTTGCCCCGACAACATCGATATGTTTAACTGAAAATTATGCAGAAGCCTCAATAACGAAATATAATGTCAAAATTTTCTGTATTTAATGTGTCCACTTTTTGTCTTCATTACGGCCTCCATTCTTTTCAGGACACTTGCTTTCAGTTTTTCAAAGAAATTTGAAGGGATATTTTTAACCCCCCCCCAATTCACAAAAAGGTTTTTAAGATTTTGCATTCAGCATTCCAAGAATTCTGTGAACAAGAAGGTGAATGATAAATAATACATTGAAATCATCTATTTACATTTGTTTTTCATCAAGTCTGCCTTGAGATTTCATCTCCAATTTTGAAATATGATGAATTGGATAATATTTTATTATAACTTAATTCTCAGTGCTATACAGCTTCAGTATAGAATCTGCTACAGCTCTGTTCCTCATCCTCACTTTATTTTCAGTTTCCTAGTGTCCTACTTTATATTAGAAAGCTGTGAAGTTGCACAGTATTAGCAGATTAGAATCTTTTTTGTACACCTATGTGCAACCAAGTTGGTTTTATATTGTTGAAAACATTTGTTTCAAGCTTTTGAAAGGTAGTGTATGTTTTCTTTGGTATAAACAAAGTATATATGGAGGCATACAGTAATTTAACAAATAGTATAAAAATAAATAATAAAACATGTCTAAGCAAAAAAAAAAAAGTGAGTGGTTAGACAGTCTGGCGCTCTGTGACATTTAAAGATGTGGAGTCATGCGAGTTCACTCAGGCAAAATGTCAGCTCGAGGCCATATGCTTCACTGTGCTTGTTTACCATGTGGAACACCCAGGTGAAAAACTCCATATGCGCTGTAAATAACAGTTTCTCTCTTTTTGGCTTCACTTGTGAGAGTGTGTGCGTGTTCTCACACACACACACCTCACCGTCATATCTTCCGCCTCTCCTTGCATCCAAAAACCTCCCACGCTTGCCATGCGAAATTTTGGAGAAACAGGCTTCCTCTGTTTGGCATGTTGTTTTCCCTGCACAGGAGAGGAAGCTGATTGAAGAGATCAATAATTATCGATTGTGGTATTCAGTTGGCCCCAGGAGTGGGAACCGTTTGTGGCATTTTGAATAAACTGAATTTGTGTCCTCTCATGACACTGCGCTTTCAGGAAGCCCTTCGCCCTCCTGTCCGGGTTGCATCTCTCAGCCGTTAATGCGTCACAAATGGCTGCATGTTTGAGCAGTCAAAAGCAACAACGTTGTCTCTCACTGAGTCTTAAATAGAAATTCAACAAGCTCCGTGTCCATATTAGGTCCAGTTTACTTAGAATATTGCTCATGTTCATTGTTCCATGGGCGTAAATGCAGCATCCCTTACTGAACTGGATGTAAGTGAGGAACATATATAATTTAGCCGCTCGTAGAACAGCTGTAAGCTGTAACGTAGGGTAGTTATGATGCCAGTGTCTGAAATTTCCAACTCCACAGAGGCCACAATATATACAACTTCCTTCGCACCGTCGTTTATTTCTCCCCCACCACGTCAGTGCTCACGTAAATTCACAGATACGGCAATTACTCGTCGTAAATTGCCGGAGGGTGGCAGGGCTCTCAAAGCCGGAACTAATGGAGAGCTGTGTACTGACAGTAAAGCAGTGTTTCTGTGGTGCGCTTAATTACCTGAGGGCTACAGTGCTGTATTAGAAATGACGTGGCCTTGTCTATCGCCTCAGTCCTCTGGGGTCATCCTATCCCTTTTCCTGCCCTAGCCTGCGGCATTAGCCTATTAAATTGGGGTTCATTTAGATCTTTATTGCTGCGTCCATGCCGCTTTATCGTCGGACATGCTCGTTTTTAATCCAACACCTGCCTCTTTGATGCCGGGTTGGTCCCTGTGCAGTTGTCAAGAGTTCATTGTTATAAATTATAGGCATTTGCCATCTTGGAAGCACTCGGTGCCCTTATCTTGTTGGCAGAGGACCACACATTATCCAGATGGCAGACACAGCTCCAAATATTGCCACTGGTAGCACAAACTGTTTGACAGCTCTGTGAAGCAGCTTGTTTCAAGTGACAGCTGAAATGATGTAAGGTATCAATTTCATTGGCCCTCTAGCATCAAAATGCAACACTGATGTGATTAATTAGACAGCACTAATTGACCTATTTATGCTCTGCCCACAAATGCATGCTTTTGTAGCAAGATTAGAGAAGCTTTACAGGATGCTGATAAAGTCCATTCAAACCAATGAGAAAATGTAGCACAGAAATACATCAATTATTTAAATCAGTCTATGGTTGAAGTGCACATAATGTTAGGTTTAAAATCTAGCAAGATGGACACTGGTGTTGTAGCCAGGGCTGGGGTGTAACAGAGTACATATTCAGAATACATACAATGTACATATGTACTGAGTCTACATTGTATTTAAAAAATGCTATATTCAGAATACAGCTGCCTTTTATATTTTCAGGGGAGTACTTATAGAATATTTATGCACTGAATTATGTATAAAATACATACATTCCTTAAACGAAACATCATCAATGCTGTTTCGTTTATTAACTTTTAGGAGCATACACGTCATGACTATCAGTTAGCAGTGTATTTAAACCTGTTTGTTTATAGTTGATGGTGCTTTGGTACCCTTCCCTGAGTGGATGAATCTGATGACTGTGAGTGCATTCATAGAGAACTCAAATTCAGTTCACTAAAGGCAAATGAAGGGTCTGTTTTCTGAGGATGTAAGTGAATTGTCTACTATTGCCATCATATCTTCATCAGTATAATGTTGATTTTGCATTTAAGACCTAAACATCGAGCTGGACCTACTTTTTGAGCATATGATGTTAATATGTACACATATGATCAAATCCAACTTGATGCTTCAGACTTTCAAATTATTATCTCAGGCTTTGCTTGGTGACCTACAGCATACTTTAGCATGTTTTTGGTCTCCTGACTTAGTAATGCTACTTCTTTTAATTTTAATAAGAAAATTGCGTAGTGCGGCTTTCATGATAGGTTTAATAGTGTATTTTGTAACTCACAAAACACAAAAGATATAAGTGTATATTTTATATATAGATACATTCTACATTCTATTCTAAGTATACTCTGAATGTTGCTTTTTAATGTATTGTAACTGAATACATTACAGAGTAGATTTTGGACAATGTATTCAGCATTCAGCCATCACAACTTTTTCAAAGTAATTTCTGGTTGTAGCAAATGGAAAAAAGAAGACTAGAAACAATAAGAATAAATTTTCCATAAGATTAATTTTTACGCCATCATGTTAACATGAACTCGATTACACAAGAAAAAAAAAGACATCCAGTCTATCATAACATTTAAAATTAATAGTGCACTAAATGTAGGACATAACATGACAGGCGCTTTTAAACGTGGCGTGGTGACAGCCGGGATGCTCCTTTTCCTCTTTGGCCCAGAGAACATGACATATTTCCAAAACCAACTTGAAAGGTAGACTCGTCAGACCACAGCACTTGTTTTCACTTTGCGTCAGTCCTTCTCAGATGACGGACTGGACTCTTTAGCCCAGAGAGGTCAGTAGTATTTCTGGATATGGCTCACTCTTTGCGTAGTAGAGTCTTAACTTGCGTTTGTCAGTGCAGCGACTGGTGGTGTTTACTGACACAGGTTTTCTGAAGTGTGTGGTTGTATTCATTTATATTCATTGTAGAAGTATGCTGTTTTTTATATGCAGTGCTATCTGAGGGATTGAAGGTCACAGGCATTCAATGTTAGTTTTCAGGCTTGTTCTTTACACATATCCAGAGATTTCTCTGAATTCTCTGAAGATGTTGGTGATATTCAGCACTGCAGAGGGTGAAATACCTTAAATCTTTATTATCGTGCATTGAGAAATGTTATTCTTAAACTGTTGATGCATTTTTTGGCAATCCTGAAACCATCCTCACTCATAAAGGACTCAACCTTTACTAGATGATCTTTTTGTAGCCAAGCATCATTGCATCACCTACTTAAGATGGTTTTTAAACATTTCACAATGTTTCTAGTCTTAAATTGCCCTGTTCCAACTTTTTGGGAACATTTTTCAGGCCTCAGTTTCAGAATGAGAATAAGTTCAAAAGGTAAAACTTGAACTATCTTGTCTTTTTTACTGTTCTAGTAAGTAAAGAGAATTTACAAATCACGTTCTGTTTTTATATGCATTGACCTTCTTTTATGGAACTGTGGCTGTGATAAGTCCCCTTTCTGTATTAGAGCAGAGAAGGAGTGGACAGACATAGTCAGCAAAGGACACGAATCACTGGGAAATGACCTATTTTATGTTTTTTTTGGAATTGGCAATATATGCACAGGCCACAATGTATGTTTTATTTATTTTTTACAATATGTTAAATTCAGCAAATAAACAGTAATTGTGCATTAAAATCTGCAGAAGTGTGTTCTCTGTAGAGGATGTGTGGTTTTTTCACTTAGAAAATCAACAAAATGTGTAATTTGATCAGAGCTCCTAAACTTTTGCATACAGACTTTTGCATACAACTTGAACTGTACACATACTGTTACATGTGTGCACATACACAACAGTGCAGTACATTATTTCATGTTAGTACAACATAGCATTTGCTGCAAAGCAAATTAGCCAGTTTGGCCACTTTAGGCTTAAAAAAATAGCAATAATTTCATGATCGTGACTGACTCCCTCATTCAGACACTTTCAGCGGCCACTAGCGTTGATACAGATTGCTGTAAACGTCTGATATGTCTTCATTTCCGTCTGCAGGTCTCTTAACAGTGGCAGAAGTTCCAGAGGTGTGGAGAGCTCATAGTGTGGACTCTATGGAAGCCAGCCTGGGGCTCTCTTTGCTCCTGCCCACCTGCTGTAGATAACTCGCTGTCTGTCATCGGCTCGACATCTGCCTCCGACTGCCTGTCTGTATCTCTGCTTTGTAAATGGGCGGTGCCCCCTAGTGCCACGGAGGACTTACGTCCACACAGCGCCTCACACAGAGCACTGGAGAGCCTCGTGGACTGTGGAGTGTGATGGGCCCTACCTTGTCAGGACTAACTGGATGTCCGCCACACCCATTTTTGAGGACTCTAGTGCTTTAAGAACTGGACCATGAGGTTCTGCTACAACCGGAGACTGTAATGACCCCTCCATCCACCCAGTGGAACTGCCCACTCTGTGAATAGGCCTTCTTCTGGAGTACAACTTTGGCACTCTGAACAATTTTTACAGACCAAAGAGGAAGAATATCATACAAACACCTTAAAAAAAGGAGTTCAGAGGATGTACTCAGTGAGGAAATGGATTGAAAATATACAGAAAGCCCCATCACTGAACACCAATGTCCACGTATGTAAAAGCACTGACTTTAAAGAATCGATCTGTGCAAATGAACTGACCAACCAGGTCAGACATGAACAAAAATCTGAGGAGTACCTTTAATACTTTGCAGACGTTTTTTCTCAGACTGTACCCTCCACTGTATTTTGAAACTGGAAATATAGGTACTGTATACATATGTATGTGTATAAAGAAAATCAGATTTGCATTTTTCAGTAGCAACATTTGGGACAATTTGCAATAAGCATGGTTGGTTACAGTTAAAGAGTACAGCGCTGATCATCATCAGACAAAAAGCGAATTCTGAAAAAAAAATTCCTGTCATTTCTGATTGCCAGAAGAGGAAAAAAAGAAGTCATTAAATGTATTTTGAAAGGCCTACAGTTATATATTTAACAGTTTTATATGTTGTATCTTTGTAGAGAACCTTATTTAACATGAATAATGTGGTGGAAATGGCAGTGATAGAATGTGGATAATAAGCTCTGTTTCATGCTGGTCTGTCCTGCTCTTCTCCTCCACCAGTAGCACCAGTCCTTTTAGACCCATTTAAAGAAAAAAAAGAAAAAAAAAACATGACCGCCACTTCTTCTATACTAAACAGACGAATGAAAAAAAAGAAAAGGACAGAACGTGGAAGGAAAAAAAAGAAACAATCGATCACTGAGAACTGAACTTTATATCCCACTTTAGTATGCAGAGCCATGGAAGTCGCTATTTGCTATTGTATTGTAAAGGTGTAGAAAAAAATACGGAGTCATTTCTCTATGGATTTTATCTAATTTATTTTTGTGCTTGTGTTTGTTTGCACAGTGCTGCCATCAGAGTGCTGACACATACAGAGAGAGTTAAGAAAGTCTTAGAAATCATTTACATGAAATACTTTTTTATTATGAAATATTTTAAGAATAAATTAAATATGTGAAAGAAGAGTCAAGTTGCTAAAATAGAATTTCACTATCATGTTTGAGGGTGCTGACCTCTGTTCTCTTTGCTTTTCCTTCTTTTTCTTCTTTGCAGTTGACCGTTTGCAAAATTCTGACAAGTCCCACCTCCCTTAGTTACTGTTGCTCTGTTCATGTAAACCTTAAGCTCAGGCTACCTGGTAGCATCTGTAGTGCTTATGCTAACAGAGAAGCACACAGTGGAGTACATCTGAAAACCATATATTATTCAAAATAAACTGGCTTTATAAGATTCAGTTTGAGAATAGACAAAATATGAATGTCGGGTAATTTAGATCACAGAATAAATTCTGTACACCATGTTTACTTTAATCAACCCAATGAAATCCTTTAGCCTCTGGACCTTAAAGCACCAGGTTTTTATGTCTATTAAGAAAGAGGTTTGAGTGATGGAAGATACCCCTTCAGATGAGCAAAAGTCCATATGGGAAAGTCTGTTTTCTTGGTGACCATTTTTGCAGTGCCACCGGGCAGTTTCTTTCAGCCATGCAATACCAGGCTTCTGTCTTTTTGAATGGGGAGAGTCCAAAATATTTAAAACTGAAGGTCAAATTACCGTTTCAAGAACATATTGGAAATCACTGATAAAATTTTAGCAAAACCTTATGAATAGTTTGCAACATTTGGCTCAGTAATGCACAAATAACAGGTTGTTCTGGCTGTTCCACAGTGGGGGGTGAGGGGGGTTCGGGAGGCTTTCTCTGCTCACGACATAACCAGCAAGCTGATTGGCTCTTTTTCTTGAAGGGCAGGACTTTCTCCGCAAACAGATGGCAGATTGAGCGCTACAAGCTTTCCATTCATACTTCAACCAGTGACCGGACTCCTCCTTTATAACATCTCTGGATGAGCTAAAGCTAAAGCTAACACTAGAGCTATTCAGTGCAGCATTCTATGCCGATGAGGACTTGTCACCTCAAACACAAGGTTTGTTATGGTTATAAATGTGCTGCCTGATGTCTGAGACATTGTTTTCTGATAGTTTAGCGATAAGGTTTTTGGGCTAAAACTAATATATTTTTATACATTCATGGCAGAGAGACACATGCATAGTGTTGTAAGGCCAGATGTACAACTATTTTACTATTATCTGCATTACATATAAAAACTCAAGACAAATAAGAAGACGGTTATATTTGTGCTGAAGACATCACAACCCCTGGACCGAATCACCACTGCTGTAAATAAATCTAAGTTGGTAAGTTTCTCTACAGTAAACCATTTCACATCAAACCACCAAAAAAAATAAATAAATAACAGTGGAATTCCCTCTTAATAGTTTTTACATTGAGCTGACTGCTTTCTTCCTTAAAGACTCCAGAGTTGAATGAAATAAAAGCAGCATCATCCTCCAAATGATCAGGATAGCATTCATAAGAATGACATGCTCCTCAGCAGCACTTTTTAAGGGAAATAATTTGGACTAATTTACTGCCACTGCCGTTCTCACTGCAGGTTTGTTCTGAGGACTTCAGTCACAGTTTCCCTGCACTTGATGAAGGAAGCAGCTTAGAGGTGATTCTGATTGGCTGAGAGGTGCGTCAGTCATTATTTTTTGCAAATGGTCAGTTGCCCACATTGAGAATATATAGGACATGAACTGTAGTGAACTGTAGCTTTGTGGCAAAACTTTCAAATTTATATAGGGTAACTGGGTCAAACAGAGTGTTTTTAAAACATCTGGGTCTGATTACATTAATATTCAATATGGTGAGATCTATTTCTCCCACCCATAAAAGCATTCACAGAAAAAAAGGCCTGCGGTGTGCCAAAACATTTGATGCATTATGCAGTGTGCACTCACAGAACACACACATACATTAGTGCACGTGTGTGTAGACAGTTCAGGGTAAACACAGCCACAGTGACATGCATTTATGCAGCTTGTATTAATTTGTTCAGCTATATAAATAAATAAATAAATGAATTGACGGTACATCTGAATGGACACAGCAGATAGTTAAATAGTTTTTCCTACATATTTCAATTTTTAGAAGAAGTGCCACAGATAACTCCCAGGGTTGAAGGTCACATAATCAGCCTGAGGATCAAACCTGATGCAGAACCAGCTTGGCTATCCTGCAGTAAATCTATGACAGGATTTTTCAACACCTCCGACTAGAGTGGACCCAGAGGAAAAAACATCCAATCCAGCAAGTCACAAGTGTGTTCATAAAACCTTAGAAGTCATTTTTTTTTCTCTTTTTACACCAATTAAAAACTAACACCAGCTGCCCTTCACACTGTGTGAACATTTCATGACCAGTAGAACTTTTCAATCACACAAACATTTAATGTCATACAATGAGCCTCGGAAAGTCCAGGCCGAGCACCATTTACAAACATTTGTTTTTTGTTTCGGTGTTGAAAAAAAAGTGACGCAGAACTGCTGTAAAACAGCCATGGTGCACGATGACCATGGCATGTAGCCATGCAAGCTTTACCATGGAGACAGAGTTAATGGTATTAAGTAGTGTTTACAATATTGTGTTGAAATGCTTTTGCATGTCTCAGCCATGCACTTTTATTGGAGCCAATGTTTTTGAACAGTGCAGAGAGGCAAAAATTATAATTTGGCCAAAACTTGCACTGACGTTGAAACACTCAGCCAATGACACTACCTCTTTACAGGGGTTTTCTGTTTTGTTTGTTTGTTTGCATCATGTCACCATAGAATTTCACAAATGTGTAGCCTGTCTCAGGTTTTCTTGTATAATAAGATAATGTTCTGTTTTAGTTGAAGCTTTGATCTTGTTGTACTTCACCAAGTAAGCCTGAACTTCAGCTACAATCCTGAATTTAGCAAATGTGCACAAGGACTTGTAAGGAACACAAGTAAGCAGATACATATCATATCCTTCTAGGACAAGTTTTGGACGTTCTCACAGGTAGTTCTCTGAGATTTGGTCACTAATGTATTGAGCTGTGAAGTATGTACTTAGCCCAGTACCACATGCATGTTTCAGAAATAACAATAATAATATAATCAACTTCATTTACATAACATGTTAAATTGCAGCTCAGTGCATTACATAAGAACAAGGCAAAATTTAAAAAATACAAAGGGGTAGGAATTAAAAACCCATTCTGAGAATGAAAAATTGAAAACTTTTTACAAATCACAAAATAATGAAGTAGATAAAAGATAAAAAAATAATATAAACAAAAATAAATGATTAAATACATACAACAAAATAAAATTAGAAATGGGACATGCTTGAACACTTACCAGAATTTTCACACCACATGGGTGAATTTTGGAAAAAGGGTCTTTTTTCACAAAAGAATAAGATCCAGTTTATTCCATTAATGCATCCTAGTAGTAAAAGTTAGGAAAACAGGTCTTGATGGAACATTCTGCTGGCCACTGGAGAAATGGCAGATACAGCGTAGTGAGTAACATGACACTTGGTAACGCTTGACAGACTAGGGATCCACTCCCCACCCAGGAACACCACACTATACCAATAAGAGTCCTTGGGCAAGACTCCTAACACTACATTCACCTCCCTCTGTAACATGATGTCAGTTGAAAGTCCCTGTGGATGAGTGTCTACCAAAAAATGTAAATGTAAACTTTCTATCGCTGCTCCATTGAAACACATGGAACAACTGGTGTGCCATTATCCGTTTGCTATCATAGTCTAAATGCAGAAAGTGTATACCCTTTATTCAGAGGAGGTTTTCTAGCAGCAGCCACAATTCGAAGTTAAACTGAGAATCATAGTCTCCTGAGTGTTTGTAAATGTGTGAGAAACACAGACTTTGGACTTCTTTCTTTAGCTCCTCTATCTGCTCTGTCCATGGACTCATGAGCTGTAACTTGGCAGTTGAGTCTCCCCGCCAGCACCAGCTGCAAATTAATGAAGTTGTGTTGACTGTGGAATTTCTGGAGACGATGCAAATGAGCTCCTGTGAGGAGCGCGAGGCGACCCTGTGCAAGCCTGATTGTCAAGAGGTTTGGAATATTTAATTATGGGCTGATTGAATTCCAATAATCTGCCCCGTATCCTTGAGCTTGTGCTGTACTAGAAGTCATGGCTCTACTGTTTAATTTGATTAACAAAAACTACAATGTGGAGTTTTCTCAGAGCTGTGCCACGTTCAGGTACAAAAGATTACCGTCCCCAAGAAGAGTCCGGCCACACACACACGCACAAGCGCCACAGGGAGGCAAAGTAGGTCATATGTTAATGATTTTGTGTGGGGATGTGTGTATGTGCATGTGTGCCAGCGTGTGTGTGAGGATACTGTGTGTGTGTGTGTGTGTGTGTGTGTGTGTGTGTGTGTTCATTTTTCACCCATATTTACTGTTGCTCTCTGTATTTGTTTGTGAGTCACTGCAGTATTTTTATTTCCTTCAGTACTGGTCACTTCTAAAAGCACTGAGGCATCTGTTTGTTGCCACTGATGTGCCCCACAGGAGAGACAGAGAGAGAGAGAGAGAGAGAGAGAGAGAGAGAGAGAGATGGAGGGAGAAAGGAGATAAGGAGGAAGAGGAACACAGGAAGAAAGAACAGAAAGAAAAAAAAGGTGAGAGACACAAAGAGAAAGTAGAGAGTGAGGGTGAGATAGGAAGATGGAAAGAAGAGAATGAGAAAGTAAGTCAGGGAGAGAAAAAGGAGAAAAGATGGGTGTGAGACAGATAGAAAACAGGGTTAGAGACAGAGAAAGAAAGCAGACAAACAGAATGTAGAGAGAGAGGGTCAGAGAAAGTAGAGAGAGAGGGTGCAAGACAGAAAGGAAAGAGAGGGTGAAAGATTGAGAGGGAAAAGAGAGGATGAGAGATGGGGAGAGAAAGAGAGAGAGAGTGAGAGGCAGAGAAAGTAGAGAGAGGGTGAGATACAGAGAGAAAGTAGAGAGAGAGAGGGTGAGAAATGGAGAAAGAAAGGAGAGAGAGGGTGAGAAATGGAGAACGAAAGGAGAGAGAGGGTGAGAGACAGAAAAAGGAGAGAGAGGGTGAGAGAAAGAGAGAGAGGGTAAGAAATGGAGAGAGAAAG